CGTTTTACTGTAGCTTGAATGTTGAATTTGAGATTGCTCTTCCCCCAGTTGATACTTCATTTCTCAAAAATGAAAGTGCATCATGTTAAAAGTTAGGTATGTGCAGAAAAGTAAAAGGCGACTTGGAATGAAGAAATGAAGTTAGGACTGGGAAGAAGGCGAGGGGGGGGGAGGTGTTTTAGTTTTTGTCTTTGTTTCTCAACATACAACTCTATTTTAATTTGCAATAAATTAAATTAATTTTTCCCAAATCAAGTCTCTTTTGCCTGTGATGGTACCTCATAAGTGATCCCCCCCTCTCTTTATCTCAACCCATGAGCTTTTGCATATTATTTTCTTCCCCTGTCCTGTTGAGGAGGAGTGCAAGAGTAGCTGGGTGGGTGTCTGGTAATTTGCTAAGGTCAACCCACCGGAATTACAAAGCATTGACTTGTCAGTTAAACATTTTTGGTGTCTTATGGAAAATTTCAGAACCATCAGTGGCTTTGTCTTGCCAGTGTGCAGCTCTTCAGCATAAGTAAACCCATTAGTTTCATTAGTGACAGCAGTAACTAGCATCATCCACCCTGTTTCTGTATATCTCTTGCATTCATGAGATGAAACAAGAGGAGGAGACTGTCTTGTACAGGAATGTGAATGTTTGTCGATCCTTGCAGGAAATGTGAGATCTGGGTTCTGGGTGCTCTGAAGCCTGAACTCACCATTTTCTTCCTGGGGTTGCTTGGGGTTGTCCTGATGTGTGGCCATCACAGTTTGGCCAGGTCAGGAGAGCATCGTTTCGTTTCTGATGCTTTAGTACTGAGCATGAAAATCTTGGAGGGTGGGAAAGACAACAGCTGTGGTGTGGAATGTGCAGTTTCTGTCATCTTGTGCTTAAAAGAAATTATGGAGGGGGCTTAGGGGTGTCTTTGGTGGTGTCTCAGGACAGCAGGTTGGTTGTGACACCAGCTCCTCTGTAGATGTTAAAAGCTTGCAGCATGATTCTCAGACATGAATTGGCCAAATTAAAAACTTGGCTACAAAACCACAGCCCTTCTCATGGACGGAGCCAAATTTCATAATAGTGTAATTCATAACTAAATAAGCACTACGGGACGCTGGGGGAGTTTGTACCAGGATGAGATATGATTTTATGTTTTGTTTTCCCTTCCTCTAAAGTAGCCAAAGATAATTTGATTAAAACTTGCGACAGAAAGTCATCTGCATGAAGAAAATGCCAGTTGTAGTTGCAGCGGTGCTGTACTGAAAATGTAGGCCTTTCAGGAGGGAGGAGAGTCTCGTTATCAGACCGATTGCCATAGCTTCTCAGAGGAAGGGCATATAAGCCCAAAAGCTTATCCGTCGTCTTTAACAACTGCTCTAATAGCAGTTGCCCATACGGACCTGGGTATGATTTGTGTTTTTAATTAATCTTTCAAGGGAATAAATGTCTAAAAGTGATTAGTGAAACGCTCCAACGGATGGCACTGGGAAAGAGAGTTTGATCTCTTTTAGGATGCGTCAGTTTATTGATCCAAAAGAACAGATGTTTTGGTAAGGTCATGCAGTGTTTGGCTTGATTATATGCCCAGTTTAGGACATAACAGCTGCTATGTGTTTTATCTAGATGGGTAACTGGAGTCCACCGGGTAGATGGGGGCAAGAGGTAGGAAAATACAAGAAAATAGAGAAGGAAGGGCTTTCACACGAATTCAGGTCACCTACACCTGGGCAGTGTTGGGATCTGGAAGTTAGCTGCCACAGTTGATGAAGAGACTTGAGAGAGCCAGAAGGGGATTGTGGCCTGAAAAATGTGTTGACTCAAATACATCGTATTGGCAATCTCTGCTGGTGGGTCTCCTGGGTGTCATCAGTTAACGCGGGGTGCTGGAGCAGCCTGGCCTCACTCAGGTGTGGATGCTCCATCTGCCTGGCCCACCCGCGAGGCTCCTGGGGGAACTCGGTTCACACCCCCAGTCCCCATGGGGATTAGTCAAGCCCCTTTGCCTTAGGTGATTGCCCACTGTATGCAGACCTCAGCAATTACATCCTATTTGCTGAATGGCTTTGAACATACTGTAGGGCAAATGCTCGTTAGGGTACGAGAGCACAGTCTGGAAAGATCAGCTCTCTGGGTGACCATGGGGCTAAACATGTCATCCGTATGTATAGCACATAGACTGGATCTACTGAGCTATTGCCAGGCAGTGGCCCCCCAGGGTGTGCCACACAAAGTCCTTCCAGTTATAAATGCAGAAGGGATCAAATAGTTTGGAAACAATCTACTTCTGTGATTATTGCTACTCTGAATTATAAATGACCCAAAAGCCAGAGCTATTCACTGCACTCTTCAGACCAGTGCTCAGAAGGCAGAGCACTGCTTTTAAGAAATATGATTTTAGAGAACAAAAGGGGAAGCAAGCACTATGAAAATTTAGTTAAATGTAAATGTGTTAAATGGTACATGCGCCAGTCAGGTTTTCATGATTTATCAGTTTTAAACTTCAAAGGCTCTGGTTAGCTTGCATTTTTAAAACTAATGAGTTTATCACAGCCAGTGGGGAAAAATGGTTCAAGTATATCAGCTGTAAATTGGTACAAAGCACTAAAAGGGACATTAGCCTCTAATCAGATTCTAACAGTTCATTAAACCCGCCTTTCGTCGGTGGCGCTTTGTCTTCCCCCCTCCTCCTGCCTGAGCCTCCTGCACTAGCCGGCATCGTCCCTTCGCTCAGGCGGGTAAGACCTCCTCGGGGACACGAAGCAATATCAGCTCATCCTTCTTTGTCTATGAGGTAAACAGCCTAAGGGATGCTTGATGATGGTATATTCCTGATCGTGCTGTAAAACTCAACTGTGCTGCATATAAATCAAGAAGGGAGAGGGACCTCTCTGCTTGCAGAGTAGGTGCTGGGGGAGCCAGGAATGGCAGGCTGGCTCCTGCTTTTGCTCCACCCCAAACCACATCCAAACCTCTGGAGCTCAGTGACACCCAAGATCCGCTTCTGATAAGTAAAACAGTGCACCACCCTTGCTGGGAAGAGGAATGTAAAGCTTGGAATAATTTCAGCCAGCTGTTTTGTGCCGTTGGAGTCCCTCCTGCTCTTTCCCCACCCCATACCTTGAATGCTGAATAATGATCAAGGTGCACAAAATAAATTGCTGTGAAGACATAGGAAGAACTTTTATTTTTTTTTCCTTTTTTTCCTATTGTGTCAAGCTTAAAATACAGTAGATACCCAGCAGTAGCATTGCATGTCTCAGCAACTTCACTTGTCTTCATTCATACAGTTTGAATGCAGGGGCATTCTGCTGGAAATCACTTGTTTGATCTGAAACTTTATAATTTGCATTTAGGGCTTTTCCTGAACTATCTAAACTACTTTTTAAGGAAAAAAAAAAATAGAGATTTACAGTTGCATTTGCTATTGCATTTGCTTATCTGCTTTACCATCGAGTTCTTGCTTGCCCTGTAGTATCGAACCACAGCTCTGTGTGCTCTAACACATGGAGTTCAAAGTGAGGGCGACAGGGATTTTAAGCAGGTCATTTGCTCTGCCTGTGGCACCGCGTTGGAGCATGGGCGTATCAGTTTACCTGCTTTTCAGCATGTTATTTAAATTACAATAAAAGAGTATGCAAAAATAAACAGTTGCTGCAATATTTATAGCCCTGAAAATTAAGATCCTGGGATGAGGTGTGTTATTTGGGAAAAAAAAAATGTTTAAAGTAATTTAAGTTTTTAAAATGTATTTTGGAAGCACCATTAGAACAGACCATTTTTCTTAGAACTCCCCTGAAGCAGCCATGATAAGAAACAGGGCTATGAACATATTCCTCGTGAATAACGGCACCATGCAGTACTGAACAGGTCTGCTGCCCATGAAACACAGGGAAACTGTTTTTTCCATTACAGTGTGGTTATTGAGGACTACGAGTTAACGGTTAGAGCAGAGGTAAGTTTCCAGTCTTGAATGCCACCTTCCAGATGGGGCTGCAGATAAGTAAGTGTCTGTGAATGAGTCACTTATAAGCCATACATGCTGTAGTTTCACAATTTGAAAAATAGCTGTGACATCTTTGTATTTCCGTACTGCTGACCAGGGTGTCTCGATTCGTAAGGTCAGATTCTAGCTTGGGGGATAAAATGTCTTTTATTCTCTTCATGTTGTTCGAACTAAATGGCAGCTGAAGGGGCCAGCTTTCAAACACCAGCCTCTGGAATGGAAAATTAGCTCAGGTTGAGGTAGTGTTTGAACTGAAGGTACAGGAGGTTGTTTTGCATGCCTATATAAACTGCTCCAGCAGCAGTGGAATGAGACATTCGGAGCAGGGATGTTGATTCAGAGAAGCACAGTTCTGCAAATCTCACTTCAGTTTAAAGCTCTCAGCATATGTTGCCCATTACTACAAACATGTTTTTAACATGCTTTTTTATTACTTTTGTGCCAGAGGTGAGTACGTGGAGATTTTCACTGTCAAATGCTGGTAACTTCACAAGATAATGAATGATACGAAATCCGAGGTGTTGCTGATGTGTGTTAATTTATGGAGTGTGTGTGTACAGGCCTTCACTGTAACATGTCTGAATTCAAGTGTATGCTTTCTTTAGGTAATAGAGAAGTACAAATGTTTTGACTGAAATCAAATATACCTAAGTATACCACCAAAACCTTGAAGCTATTTGACATCACTGCTCTTCTTTCCAGTTCTAAAACAAGGAATTTATGTACATGCACCTGTGTGATTTAATTTCAAATGAAAAAGTAGGAATTGGAGATGATTTTCCCCTTGTTGCTTACAAAGACTTAGTTGTCTTTTAAGGATAACTGAAAGTATAGTTTATTATTTTAACAGAAGTAGTAACTTGGTAGCTACTCCTTGAAATTAATATTACATCTTTGTTAACTTGATTTCTGCAAAAAGAAACTTAATTCTACAGTATCGTAGAACTAAACCAGTGAATTAAACCAAGCATGTTCATCATTTTTTTGATTAACCTTGTCCTTTTTTTGCCTTAGGACATCAGCGCCTTTGAGAACAGAATGTTAATGCTTGATGGGATGCCGGCAGTCAGAGTCAAAACAGAGCTGCTGGAATCCGAGCAAGGGGTAAGCAGAGGTTTCTGTGCGGCCTTGCTCTGCAGCGTGCTGGTGACCCTTCCCAAGCTTCTCTGTGGTTAACTGTCCCTCCCTGCCATTTTCTTTTCTGCATTTTTCTTGATTTCTACCATTTTGGAGCTAATTTTCCTGGGAGATGTAGTGGTGAGCACCTAGTCTCATCTGCTGGGAGCACAAAACTCTGCAGAAGACTTACTGAAATTATCTGGGATAGCTGAGGTGCTGTTGGTATAATTTTATGATTATAAAAAAAGGTGCAGTTTAAAGAACCATGAAAGAATAATGGATTACAGTAAAGAAGCCAAATTCATATGTCTGAGAATCTCACACATATCTTTGCTGTTGTGCCTTCTTGAGATATTTTCTTTACTGTGGTTGTTTTGTCCTTTATATGCTTGTCCTACTCCACTTTCTGTTTGTGCAACCCTGCTCTCTTTCTGGTGGAATATACTTGTTTATCATTATGATAAGAAGGCTAGAAGCTTTGGCCGGTTAAAGCTGATATCATGTCGACACAGGACAGAGGTCATGAATAAGATTTCACGGAACAGATGTTTGGTATTGGAGTGGTAGACTTTAGGAAAATGGAAGACTGGTTTTGGACATATTAAGGGCATTTTCTTAGATATGTGTTAACGATTGCATCAGGGATTATAGATTACTATGAGGACATCTGTATTTAATGGATTTTGTGTTTTCATGAATCTTTGTTTCCTTATATTTTCTTATGTTAACCCAAAGAATGCAAGTGACCTTACTGCTCTCAAGACAGATGCCCTCAACAAGCAGAGGGCATAATAGAAACAGCAATGCTATTGCCTTTTAGGGATGGGCTTTTGCCTCCTTCTGTTAATGGGCTTTTTTTCCTTCCCACTATTTTCTCAATTATTTAATTGAGAATTTAAATGATATGGAAGAGAGGGAATTAACTTTCAGGATGACTTAATTTGAAAGACTTGCAAGGAGATATCAGTTATTCAGAATTTTTTTGAGACTTTAAGCTTGAGAGAAAAAAAACCTTGACATTTAATGGAGTTCTTGTTAATTTTTCTGCCTTCTTGAGACCAAGTACCCTCAGAAAATACTCCAAAACAGCATAGTTTGAGGGAAGATAAAAGTTGGGCTATTGTATGAGCCATGATGATGAAAAGACAGATTCATTAGAGGTAATTTTTAATACCTTCTGGATGCTTTGTGTTATGTCTTTCTATGTAACACAAACATTTCTTTATATTATTCAGAAGACAAATGTTTCATTGATACTTGCCTTTGTTTAGTTTAAAATAAATTCTATGCATGATGCATATTGCTGGGTCCTTTATGAAGAATACTTCCTTTAGCAAAGTGTGATTTGATTCTAGAAGACCTATTTGGTGTCTTAGGAACTGGAAGGAAATGAACAATTTATATAGTTTTTTAATTTCCTTAGGATTTTTTAATAACATTTTACAGACTTCTGTGTAAGCAGAAAATGATGTAATCTTTTTCTTTTCCAGTGACTGAGCCGTTGGACAGAGCTTGGTTTGATGTGGGATTTTATGTGCTTTGGTACTAATTAAGTAGTGTCTGGTCAAGAGTCTCTGGCACCTCTATGACTCTTCATTAGGGAACGATCAATAAATACAAAATGAATTCTCCAGTTCACTAACAGAGGAGCTAGCCATTAGGATGGCAGTTTTCCAGCAAACAGCTTAAACTCTGAAGAGAAAGGTGGTTGAAACAGATGTTTAGCATGTGCTTCAGGGACTGTTTTGAATATGTAGATGTTGGTAGACATAACAGGGACAAGTGTTTGAAGGATGTGATTAACAAAAAGAGCACGTGAAGCTGTTTGGGAAGATGAAAGTAATAACTGGGAAGCATGGAGTGGGAACTAAAGTGTGATCCAAGTAGTATGAATTTGAAATTGCAATGTCTCTGTTGATATAGTGCCCAAAGTCCCTAGAGTTGCACCTCCACCGCAGCGTATACGTATACAGGGAGACATGATTTCTACTTTGAATATTTGTGAGCTAAGATGGCATTTAAATCTTCTGAAGGTAGTGGACAAAGCTTCATCACTTGGGATGCTGAACACCACGCAAGACTAGGCAAACTTTTCCAATACCTGTAGGAAAACAGCTGGGTTTTTTGGTGTTCCTGCTTGGTATCTGCTATTGGCTCTAGGTTTGCTGCAAGGGCAAAAGTGAAACATGGTTTAAGGATTATGAAAAGAAAGTTTCATCTGTGGTTAGGGGACTGTGCAGGCTGTGCCAGTTGTGGAGGAGTGAAACCAACAGAGTCTGGAGCACCAGCGGCCCTCAACCAGGCTGGTGAGTGCTGAGTGATCAGACCAGAGAGGACTGAGTTGCCATGCCTCGCTAATGAGGCTTTGGAGGAGCTGGGATAATATCTGATCTTTTGTCTTAGAAGGGCTATGGGACCACTTTGAGTTGTCTTCTGTTTAAGTCTTGGCCCATGTTTTAAATAAACACTTTCTTGATTTTAAAACTGATCCTGGTAAATAACCTCCCACAGCTATGCTAGTGGTTGCCTGTTCTTGTTGTGAAAGCATGCACCCAATTTTTAATATGAATTTATCTTGCATCAGCTTCCAGACCTTTCCAGTGGCAGCAGAGATATTCCCAGAGATATTGTGGTGCTGTGTAATGATCTTGTAAGGCTGGCCCTGAAAGGTCTAAGCAGTGCACCAATTCTTTTGAGTCTGTGATCAGAAGAGAGGTGGTCAGGACTGAGGAGCTACAGACAGCATTGTTGCAGCAAAGACAGAACTTTACCGAGCTGGGTTTAAAAGATGCTGAGTTCAAGCTATATGGTTGTGGTAGAATGGGATTTAGGCAGCCTGTAATGGAGACATGCCCTATGAGATATAGGTTACTAGGCAAATTTGGAACAAAGAAGTATTTACAAGGGAATGGATTTTTTTCTTTGCTTTGGAAAAAGTTAAAACAGTTCTGCTTTGTTTTATTGTTGTCAATTTAGAATAGTTTAATGATTTTTAGAAGGCCATCAGCATTAGCAAGAACAGATGCTTATTTTTCCAGTGCACTACTGTCCTTAATTTTGCACGGGAGATTTAATGCAGTCTATTGTTTGAGGCTTCAAGAAGACACAGTGCTGCTTTAATGACTTTATCACAAATGGAAAAAAGACATTACATAAAAGATATCGCATTGCCCTTTAACAAGGCTTCGTTATTATCTCCCCTACTGTGGAACAGGAGCTAGCATTGCTAATAAATTGGTAGAATTACTTTAGAAATGTGAATTTGCTTATCATTTAATATCCTCCAGTGACCTACAGCTTTAGATTTTTTAGTCTGCAGTAAAATTTTTTGTATGTCAGTAACCAGCTTCAGAGAAGGATGTGAAGAAGGTGGTGCCTCCCCATGTAGGTGGGTTACTTCAGCAGGAAAAAAATATTCATCCTTTGGCTGTGCCAACTGAAAAGTAATACTCCTCATTTTAAAAACATACAGAGTCTGGATTAGTTTAAATGGTAATACAGACTGGGCAGTGAATTTGATAGCTGATGTCTGCTGTCAAGAAGTTAGGATGGATAGTGTTGACTAGCTTCAATGTGAAGTCTGAATGTCTTGCTGGTCATTACAGTATGTGGCCCAGTTTCTAAAAAATTATGAATGTGTATGACTGAGACACATGAGGTTATACTTTCTCAAGTGTTTGCAGAGTTGGACCATAAGCTTTTGTTGAAAGGAGATATGAATGTGGGACTTAAGTCCCACAATTAATCTTCAAATACAGAGAATAATGAACCTCTGATTTTCATCAGCCTTTTTGTTTCCAGATCTGCAATCTCATCCATTCCTGTGCCTGCATTTTGTCCCCTCAAATCATTATTTGAAGATTATATATCTTATTCTGAATTCCTTTCCTAATGCTGCTTGATCCGTCACCATTCCCATGCTTATCATGGCTGAATTATGGAAAGAATGACTACAGTGACAAACCCCTTTAACAAGCCAGTATTATTCTCTGGGTCTTTCATCTCCAGCCAAACTGTATTGTCATGTTGTGTCTGAAGAATGCCATCTATGCTTTTATTATTATATACATAAACGTGTTCTACCTCAGCCTGGGTAATAGTGACAGAAATATATTTTATTTTCAAATATTTCCAAAAATACCTATTGAAATTTAGTTGAGAGTAGTCTCAACAGAAAAGCTTACTCCTTGACTATATTGGAAACTGTTTTATGTTGGTTGATTCATTCGGCTAATGTACGTTCTTTGTATAATTAGAAGAAAGAACAGTTCTGGTGTTTGCTGTTCTAAACTATGAATCTCTACTTCATTTTTTTTTTTTCCCCTGAATTAATATTTAGAACAACTGATTTGGGGAAACAAATGGCATTTGGACAGTGCACACGTATCAATCTCTTCTGCAAAGAACCTAGCCCTTCTTAGTTTCTGTTGGTTTTCTTCATCTTGCACTTGATGATACTTGAGTAGTGCTATTGAGGTGTTAGAAACACAGCTGATATGATGCATTAGTTGCTTTACAGGGCCATAAATGTATGACATTCTTCAGAAAGAGATCAAGATCTGATCCCGAAGATAAGGTTGTAATCTACAGAGCAGGATGCTGGGCCATGTGAGACATACTGAAGGGGTCACAGCTGTATTCCCCAAGCACTGCTGAAGGATATGCTTGTAATCCAGAAGGGTGCAAGACACATCCCAGAAGGGTGCACCACAGCTACATCAATTAAATTAATTAAGCCAAGTGAAGCACCACGAGCTGATAAATACTGTGGGTGCTGTTTCATGTTAAGTGGAAGTTCTCATGAAGAATAACAGGTAGCCAACTCCTACAGCTTTGCTCTCAACCTGACATTCCTGCTGTATCCATTGCCAGTGACTAAATGACATTGTGGAGGGTTGGGCCAACTGATCACTGATCCAAGAAAACCCAACCCAGCAGGAGAAAAGGAATGGCTGTATCCATCCTGCAGTCACATGGTTAGGAAA